ATCAAATTAAATTATAATAAAATTTTTTTAATATAAGAATGAAAAAAATTTATGATTCAAAGATGTTGGACACATTAATTACATTTTATATTTCGCTTTGAAGTTGACCTAGTCTTGGCTTCTATCGCCTTATTAATAATTCTTCCGGAATTAAACCAAAAAAATGAAGCAGCCTTATCGCTTCCGGCTAATCATTCACACTAATTTTTTTTGGATCACTATCAAAAAAAGAAAAAAGAATGGTTTGAGACATTCTTTAGGCAGCCTAATTAGCATAAAAAGGAGAGGTCATTATCAAGTTCATTAAACATTAACAACGTATGTTCATTAATTTACATCAAAATATGTACTGTACATCGCTATATCTTTTATCCACCCCGCTAATCTATTGTACAATAAGTTACCGCCTTCAACAATCATACATTTCAGTTTATTAACCATATATCTGCTTACCGCACAAAGCTCCTTTCCATATATAAATGAAGTTCACGCTTTCTTTCATCCGGTTTTATACATCTATTATTCCCATCCACAACATTACCCCCAACAGTTTGAGACTTGCAGGGTTATTAACATACAGGTTGCATAAATGTTTAAATATCTATAGCCTCTTTACCAGTTTATTACAGGTAAAAGTCTCAATTCTTGATAAATTATTATTCAGCGATGTTTTGTCGAATAATTTAAAGGAAGACAAAATGAGATCAGAGATCGGTCGATCACTATTGAGATTTTAAAATAAATTTCCATTTAAATAATTTATTTGATAAAAGATCAGTGGAAAAATGCGCCAAAGTTACACTAATTTGTAAGCTTTGATTAATTAAAACAATTGTTTTATTCTCATATAATTTAACATTCTTTCTGAGTTGGGGAATTCCTAACGAATTTTAGCTTTTTTTAATCTTTTTGTTAAGATCGAAACGTTAAGCATTGTGACAAGTGGTGACTGATGGGTATGCAAGGTGCAATCAATGATGGCGGTAACAGTTTTAATCATAAAATGCTACAGCGGTGCGGCTAACACTTGAGTGAGGGAGTGAACTTCATGATTGATGTATCGTTTAGAATTGTAAATTTTCTGGCAATAATTAAAGATGAATCTTCTTTAGTGACCGCTAACCACCTAAAGGAAGGGTTGCGAAAAAATGGCAAGTGGAGCAAAATGCTTTTAAACAGACAATTCACCGCTTTACACCTAAAAAGACCCATTGCAATGACTGATAGATGAAGGAAAAAGAACTTTGCGGTAGACTGTTAATGAGTTCTGGATAGACAATATGCAGAATGTAAAATTCGGCATCATTTCTTTCAACTTCTTCTTTTTTTTTAATGAAAAAAAATAATTTCCACATTTGATATTTTTAAATTGGCATAAGGAAAGTCAGGGTCAGTTATTCAAATTAAATAAGTTCAAAGAAAAACAAAATTTCACATTTGCCTAATTTTACATTTGAAATCTACGCAAGTTAATTTCTTTTTCTGAAAAATTTTATTATGAGCGCCCTAAATGTTTCGAAAATTGCAGGTTCTCTTTTCTTGTCGTAATTTGAACAAGTTTTATTCCGATTTCTTTCAAAAGAGAGAAATTAGAAGTTACATAGATTGAACAAATGAATTCATTTATTTATTTAAAGATGTTTTAAAAAAACCAAAGATCGATTAATGACATTAAAATCACATTAATTGAAATTAAATGAATAAGATGTGAAAGAAATCTCCGGAAGTTAAACATAATTAATCATCAAAAATTGAAATTTAAAAAAAGTGTAATCATTTAATTAACCTCAAAAAAGATGTTAAGGAGGAAATTCTATGATGGAATAAGTGATAAAAGTAAGTGGTCTAGTTATTACATATTTTCTGAGTAAATATCGTTACAAACTTAGATGTTACCAATACAGGAAAAGATCTCTACAGGATTGGACTGAAACCTTTCAATTAAGACTAATTCCTATCATCATATTAATTATTTTTTTCGCTAAATTAAAATCTCGCCAGGAAAAAATTTTCATCTCATTTTCAGTCTAAAAACTTCAAAATCATAATTTCCGAAAATTTCGTACTTTTGTAACTTTTACTAAGTTGAACAATGCACGTATGATGTTGAAGGTGCGACTGCATGAATCCGCTTATTATGCAACCACCCATCTCACCACAAATCAGTTAATATATCTTCTGAGACAGACAATTAAAGATTAATTTGCATGAATTGACCGCATTATTAATGTGCAGTAATACTGAAAACCTATTTCTATATCACTATGCACTCTCATTTTGATGGAGGTCATTGCGGTGGATCTTTCTTTACGGTCTTTATACCGTAAATCTCTTTTTCTGATTTTACTGCTAGGATCAGGAGCCCAAGACGGTGCCAGACTTTCATTTTTTTCAAATTGTTACAGTATTCTTCGTACTATAACACTTTGATTGCATCCTACACAACGAAAGAGTGAGGGGTCGACATTTTTTGAACTAAATTTTCTATTCACACTTTTCCATAAAAGTTAAATTTTTCCGATAATTAAGACATCCCGCAGTGGCCCGTCAATGATGCATGAATTGTAGGCCAGTGGTCACTTAGACAATGTCGTTCGTCCTCTTTCTCATCCAATCGAGCTTCTCAGTAATTTGTTCCCATTATAATCAACAAAAGGAGTATAGATTAGATTCATTGTATATCGAATTATACCAACATTTTTGTTTAGGATCTAGGGAGAAATTTTTTAATTCAATTTTTTAAACCTTCAGAAAACTTGCAATAATTAAAACGAAGTCCCAAAAAAAATTACTTAACAATTTCCAAACTTCTTAGCCAAATCAAAATAAATTAGCTGGATAAAGAAATAACACGTGAAGTCAGATGGATTAAAAAAATTACAATTTCTATGGTTTAACCGACAAATTCAGAAGGCTTTCGAAAAGATCGGCGGAAACCTTTTGAGGAATGTATATGGCCGGAGAAGTTTTTTTAGCTTTAGAGAATCAACGGACAAAGTATCGTTTTCATAAGCAATCTTGCCGACGTACATCATCACATTTAGCCCATTGTAAAGTTTGTTTATAAGGAATCGGATTGCAGAGAGAAGGGAACAGGTACCGATTGGGGCTGATCGAATATAATGATTTAGGGGTGGCTTAGGGTCACCACATGATTGAAAGATACAGCACAGACAGAGTTTATTCTTTTGCGTTGTAATTAATCCACACAAAGGGAATCGATAATTATAAAAAAAGTATAATAGACCACCATCGTCTATCTTCTACAATCAATGAATACAACACCCATGAAATAATGACATTCTTTACGATAACAATAGTTTCATCAAAAAGATCGAGTTTGAAATTAACAACTAAAAAAAATTACTGAAAACTACATGAAGCACTGAAAGGTTTCATTTCATTTATTCACGAGACAGAGATTATCTGAAGTGATGGATAAAACATAGTGAAAAGTCCTTACCAATATTCATCAAATAAAAAAATCAGGCAATCCATTTATGGGATTATGAGCCAAAGATATTTTATTACTGTCAATTTTGAGATCACAAAAGTCCTCTTAAATTAGTTATGAATTAATACAGTTAGCGATACTAGAGTCAACTACCTAATAAGTATCATACTATTATAATAATATAAATAGGAGTTAATATATAAGCAAACGTGTGTCATCACTTAATCTTGACTTGACCTCATGTTGAATTGAACTGTCAAAATAACAATAAACCATTCCTAAGCTCGTTGTATTACTGTATACTATTATCAATTCAACGTTCTGTACAAGCGTATTATAGTAGCGTTGAATATTGGAAAAGAACAGATGAAACTAAGTGCTGTTTACATCAAGCGCTCAAAAAAGTAATTTTCAACATTTTCAAACTGGCATATGGAATCAAATTTATTTGAACTTTTAGATATTTTAGAATCTACGTAACTTAAAGTGATCCACAACTTATTTCTTTTCTAAAAATGTTTTTATGAGCGTCCGAAATGTTTCGAAAATTACTCAACTGTAAGTTCGAATAGAAAAAGTATGGCAAATAATAAAGACAGTTGATTACTGAACTAGTGAATGATTGATATGAAAGATGCATTTCAAATGACTCGTAGGAATTTACCGATTGAAGCCGAACGCTTATTACCAACTTAATAAGCAATCTACCAAAGTAATCAACAGCTTAATTATGTAATTGAACACCCCTATCCTACCAACCAACGATTCTCACATTTAGATTCAACGCCGCTGGATGAAAGAATGAAAGAGACAATTTGAATATGAGATTACAGTAAGTTTCCCGCCATGATTCCGTTTGGCAATATTTCAAATGCGACAAGTTGTGAATTTTCGTTGTTTCGTGTTTGGTTGTTCTGGTGGTTTGTGCTTTCTTTCTGTCTTGCTAATCTCTGTATCATCCGAGGTATGAGGTGAATTATGAAGAGGGGCAACGATTGATAAGTTGCATGAATGTGTGTATGTGGACTAGAGAATAAGAGAATATGAAAAGGTGACTTTATTATGTTAGACAAGCTTTAAGGATATAAAGCTTGCAATGTAGTGATACTAATAAAGGATAATGTGAAGAAAAGAGGTGCTAGAGTTGTTTATAAATGGTAGCATGTCATGACGAATCGGGGAAATATATTGGTAAGAATGGTTAGCAGTTTGTGAGAGAGAAAGAGCTTTGGAAGAGTGATCAGAGTGGTCGAAATGGACGAACAACAAATCGCCAATTTTCGAAATATTTACAGTTTTGAGGCTATTTGCGCCGATTTATGAACGTTCGCTAACGCTAAACATAGATTGTGGGGGATGAGAAGGAAAGGGGCTATCTCAAAACGTTTAAATTTTGCTGAATTTATTGAATATACATACTGCTTTAGGGAATATTTTCCAAAATATGTTTATTAAATTGCTGTCACTTAATAAGATTGTTATTGTATTTTCTACAGAGGAATTATTTGTTAAATGCAGTTTATGCTTGCCAAGAACGGGATAAAGGATGCATACTCGAAGTAGGCGTGTGTCTCGGTGCCTATTCGGCAAACCAGATCATGAAGAGTTGGAAAAATGGCTGACGAAAGAACTTGAAGCTATTCAAATAGAGCGGGTATGGTGCTTTTAAAATCCTTCTATTTCATTCGAATCTGGCATATTTCTGAGATTTCAAGGGAAAATCTTTTTTTTGTTTTATAGGAGAAAGGATATGGCTTTGATTTTAAAAATGACCAGCCTTTTCCAAGCACTGCATACATCGTCGAAGCAGTTCCTGAAAACGAGGTAATTCTTCAGTCATTCAGTTTTTTTATTTGAGCCATCCAAAAGGTTCCTCAAAGCAATTTAAAGTTGGCAAAATTTGTTCTGGTGAACACATATCACTAGATTATAGGTACCATTTTTTTACCGAACAACTTATTATCCATCAAAGGAGCACAGTAAGAAACGAACGGTCGATTTCACGGAGCAGAAACTTGAAGGAAATGGCGATGTGGTCGCCTATCACACGCGAAGTCGTAATGCAGCTGCTGCGAAATTGGTATCGAAATTGATATCATTACACTTTAAATAAAACAGGATAAACAGAAATTACGAATTAATAGCTTTTTATACTTTCAATTCGACTATTTAAACAACTTCACAATTTTTAGAACATAACTGTTCCGAAGGTTTCGAAAGGTGGTGTTAAAGTTATAGCACAGTCTCGAGATACTAAGGTCCAGCGACCAGCACTACTGAAAACACGTAGTGTTCGCAAGATTTCACGAAAATCTGTTTTGCGCAAAAAATCGATGAAACAGTCTCTGTTGACCAGTAAGCTTTTATTCATTAGCTTTCTCCTTTACATTTCTAAATTTTCAGTTCCAATTTTCATATTAGGTAGTCTTTATTTTTCTTGGATTTTGATAGGATTACAAATCAAAATTTTCGAGGAAATTTGTTCTTCGAAAGGTCAAAGTTTAAGGGAATTACTAGGAAAACTAATAAAGCGATGACAGACATAGGAGATTCCTTTATAAGGATGACAAACATAAGCAGGTGCTAGCATCTGCTCTCTTTATGGTAATGATTTCTTGCGTGCAAGTATCGGCATTTAAACTAAGGTGTAACAGTTTTGATGGATAATTGCATTCTTCCTTTATTATATATCTGTCTTTCATTTCTCTCTTAATAATGATACCACAGGTTATGCAATTGCATCCTGCTGCAGTAAACTGTTCCTTATGACGAATATTTTGACAGTGACCACCTATGTACACTTTGACATGAACAATTGTTTGCCAAAAACACTTGCCTCTGATACGGTTTAAGGGGATTGAATGCATTTCCTGAACTCAGGTCGTAATGAACATAATGAAATAGGGAAAGGGATAAAGACAAAAAGGATAATCCGAATGAGAGGTCTTGACAGAGGAATGAGTTATGCAAATAAATTGTTTTGACCAATGAAATTGCTGTTAACCTTTTTTGAAGTGCTCTTGCTAAGCAATGTTTTTTAAGTGAACCGTTCGAAAATAAACTTTGATCGATGCATTCTTAAATTTACCCAAACTAGTTTCGTTCAGATAATGGGGAAAATCTGTATTTTCATTCCAAGGTCATTATTAGGAGTCATTTTTAATATGAATTAGATACTGTGTACCGTGGGAATGCTTGCTGATGAGTGTGCTATAAGTGAAGCGTTTCCAAGAATAATGTGCGAAAGAAATATAATTTTAATTTTTATGGAGGTTTCTAATATCTTAATGGGCTTCTGGTCGTGTGATTTTTTTCCGTCTTTCTCACTTTCAACTATCATTTCTCATAGCTCTTTTGCCTCATATTTGAAAAATCATGTGCAATTGGAGAAAAATAAGTGTAAAATAAATGTTGGATAAAAAAAAAAATCTGTTTATAAACTTGGCTTTATTTTGTTAATTCGTTTTTTTCCTTTCTGATTCTTTGCTAAAATTGTTATAAAGTAGGCCACTATGCAAAAAAAATTTGAAGTGGAATATTGAGATTTGGAACAATGTTGAGGCTTCAAAACGTATACTTTTTTCACTGTTTCTATAAACTATATTGTTGACAAATGGTTAGTTGTCCTGATATCTGTAAAAGAAGCGGATTGAGAAGTTATAGTATGACGCTATAATGAAAATCTATACAAAAGACTGTGCTGTTGACCGCTGATGACCTTTCTTCTCTTTTATTGTTCTTTTTAATGCTGTACTTTTTGTCTTTTTCATTGATGTATTGACCCTATTGTATTTGAAAAAAATGAAACTGACTTAGGGAGAAGGAGGTATAGAGAGGAGGATCACGGGAGATGGGGGATGAGGATGAAATGGCTGAAATTTTTTTCATTGATGAAATAGCTGAAATTTCTGAAAATTCATCTCTCATTATATAGTTTTTCAGTGTCTGATTTTTTTTCTTTCTTCCATTTTTAAATTTCATGGAATCCATTAACTTTTAAATATTTGATCAGAACAGGTATTTGTTAAATGTGAGTGAAATTCCAAAAACTTTCAGATTACTTACCGGTTGTGAAGAAACGGCGTTCGCTTACTCGGTCGGAATGCAGTGAGACATCGAAGTTACCTGATGACATTCATGTAGAAATGGATTGTTTGGGCACTAAAGTCCTCAACTCTAGCAGTTCCGGTGCTATATTTTTGTTTTACATCTAAAAGTAATTAGAAAAAAAAGTGAACAGGGATAGTTTTTTTGCTAGTTCAAATTCCTATCGTGAGGTGGACTGCATGGAATTATTGTATGCAATCAGCAAATAACTCTCAGATGTTAGTAAAGGTTCTTTATAAGGTATTCAAGTAGAGACATAGAGTTTCTCACCCAAATGGGCACTTTCATTTATTCAATCATGCATGAATCTGATTTCCCTTTCTTCAACAAGAACAAAAAGGAAAAGTCAAGGACATCTAGCATTTTCTGCTTGAATGAAACGTCTATTTTCGATAGCCAAAAATTATCACTTTAATTGTTTTTAGGGTGATTTTTCATTACTATTTCAGGTGTTAAAACTCGTTGGCAGAGTCGAAGATGTGAAGATCCATCCTCGAGAAGCTTGCGTTCTGCATTTTAATTAATGTAAGCTTTTCAAAATTATTGCTCCATCCGGTTGTTTTGAAATTTGCTTTTGCATATTTCCTATCATTGTTATATCTTCATATCCTTTTCAAGAGCTAACTAGATTTCTAGTTTGCTTAAAAATTTGATAGAGCAAGTATGTATATTGCAAACGGAAGTCCGAGCTTTATAATTAGCTATGGTGGGAAAAACCATGTGAGTATGAAGATAAGACTTTGTATTCCTGAGTGCATTTGAAACAATATAAATATGAAAAAGAAGCAGGTATTTTCATGTCAATTATTTTTATGGAAAATAGATCTTTGATTTTATCCTGTTTCAAAATTCGGTGTTTTTTTCTTTAAGCTTATTGAAGGAATTTGACCCCAATTTTTTTACTTATTTGAAATGCACGGTAAGGGAAGGATTTCACAAATTGAGTCCCTTAACTTCCTAGTTTTGAAAAGTTCCTGGATCTGATCTTAATAAATTTCGAGAAGAAGAAAACATAAAGGTTTTTCTCAATCATTTATTGTAATTTTACATTCTAGTTTTTATAGGATAGGTAAATAGTATAATTAAAAAAAAAAAAAACAAAAAAGTGCCTCGCACTAAACTTTAGGGCCATGATAAGGCCAACATATTTATTTTCTCTGGTTTGTTTGGTTTGGATATATATTTAATGATTTATTATAAAATTGAACTTTATAGAGCTGAACTCCTTATTTTGTTACTTATAATCTGTATTATGTTTTAAAATGAAAAAGAATTTTTGCATTATTATTTTGTGTGGGAGTAAAGTAAGATAAGGTGGCATCGATTTATTAATTTCATGATACCTAAATTCCAAATTTTTTTGATTACTTTTATCGTTGCTTTTTTCATCATTAGTTGGAAGAAATAGTTACTTTTTATATATTCGTTTTCATCTCAAGTTGATTATATACTTTCAAATGAAATTTAGGAGCTCATCAAATAAATGATAGTTCATAGTGTCATTTTTTCCAGCGATTTTCTGGAGAAAAGAATGGGGGAGAAAAAGTTAATGATGATTTTTTTTAGGTATTTTTATTTTCCGATTCATATCTGGTTTTAGTAGTTATGATGACTTGTGCTTGAGCAACTGATTCTGTGATTAGCAACGTAAACTATTTTGACGTTAAATAATATAATTTTCAATGCTAACTGTCGTTTTGTGTTTCGGTACTTAAATGCCGACGGATAGGATATTCAGCAGGCAATCATCAGTAATAGTAATGATGCCCATATAAGTGGCTAATGCCCATAATGTACATTGAGAAATTTTTCAATAATTGATTTTTGGGTCATTTCCAAATCAAGATTTAAATATAAAATAAATGTAATCAATTAGATTTAATGTAAAATCCCTTTTGATATTTCAGATGAATTTATAAATTTTTGTTTTCTATCGCTGGTAAGACGTGCAAATTATATGATAATTAGGATCGCCGTAGTGCTTATTTTATTACTTCTTCGGAGTAGAAAAAGTGTGGTGACAGATGCGATTTGAATAACTTCATAAGCATTTTGGTGTGTATACCGCTTGGGGGTCAACGAAAATTCCGGATAGTACTTCCTGCTACATGACAGTAGGAGACGAATTTAATACAATAAATTGCAGTTAGAGTAGAATATATGACTTCAAAGTGAAGTACTATAAGGATAATTGATCAGAATCAACAGATGGAATGTCTGATCGGATTCTGCCATTTGGATTTAGTAAGCTCTGTTATGGAAAGAAGGTATATTTCAGGTATCAAAATAACTTGTGACCATAAAGCTCCATTTTCAGATCCTGAACATTACAATCGTTTACATTACTTGTGAGTGAAGCATTCAAGTGTTATGAATAATTTTCGAGGTGATACAATTATTTAACGATATGTTTAGCACTAAGCTGTGAACTTTGTTAATGGTATAATTGAATTCAGGTATTAGTCGACCTTCCCAAAAAATTGAAAATCAAATAGAAGTTGAGTTAATTATGCATAAACTCTTATTTGATAGTCAAGATGTTTGTATATTTTTTGAACCTTTTTTTTAATTTTTTATTAATCATACATTCATTTAGAAAAATATAAGTTTTCATGCAGATAGAAAAAGGAAGTAGTTTCGATGGTCCATAAATTATGAGCGTAATGATAGGCTGCTGTTGTCACCTTAACACACGGAACAGGTCATGAAATGTAGTACGACAGATGGTACAGTAACTATAATGTATCGACTGCTATTGTCTACGTTACTAATACTGCTGCTGCTACCCCTGCTGTTACCGAAATTTCAAAATTCGACTCCTTTACAAATTGCCAACTAATCAGCAATAGGATTCGTTGATCACCGTGGAACCTAAATTCCGGAAACAGTTAATTGCAGCATGAAATGGATAGATAGCAGATGCGTGATATGAAATAGATGTGTAACATTTGCACGTCACATTCCCTGCCTATTTATTTGATTTATTATTGAGAAGAACTAATTTCAAGAAAAGGCATTGACTTGTTTTTGAATTCATTGGTTTAAAAAAATTGGTGGTAAAGGAGTGAATCGAGGATTTTTATAGAAGTCTGACTCATGATCTCACTGAATTTCATAGTTTTATTGGGAGAATCAGATAACGAAACAGCTAAAATGTGAAATTATTGTTGTAGCTTATCAGTAACTTTTGTTTGCTTATGTTGCTTATTCAGCCCATTTCAAAAACTTGAATTAGTATCGATGATTATTGACAGTAATAATTAGTGTAGTGATATTAGAATAATAAAATGCCAGTATCAATAATGACGAAGATATAGGCAGTAATATCGATCGCTGGCGTTAATAGCAGTGATCATCCCTGGGCTACCATTATTTAGAAATTCTACTTGCAAAATACTATTCAAATGATAACAGTCCTTATATATTATTACTGCTTTAGTCACTGCAATTTATGGCAGAATTATTTTTTATGAATTATAGTGAAAAAAAATTTTTTTGCGTTGAATTCATTATGTAAGGAAAGAGGAAAGAGAGAGGAGGTTTTAATGGCATTATGTGACAACTGAAAATTATCTAAAAATTTATTCAAATTTTTTTTAGAACTGAGTAAAATGCCCTAAACTAACACATGCCTATTGTATAGGATGAGGAGCCTTGAAAATTATTGTTGAAGCTTGCTTTTCTGAAAAAATAGTCTACAAGGCATGTAAATGGTAACGTAAGAAGGAAGTGACAAGCGATATTTTCCCAAGATCCTGCTATTATGCTATGTGTTCCTAGCAGCTATTGGATCTACAAAGAAAATAGTTTTTTGTTTAGAATAGATCCCGTTCGAATTTGCTTAATGTGTTGGTTAGCTCTTCAAAGCAACAAAAAAATTATTGATTTTTTTGATAAGAGATTTAGTCACGAACTGTCAGACTTTGATTCGAAATTTGACATTTGGAACTGTTCCAACAACTTTTATTCAGCAGTTGACTCAAAAAAAATAAAGAATTCCATATGTGAATTAGGAGAGAATGAAGATGAAGTGATGGTTAAAGGACATAATCAGATCACGGCGTCTTCTGGATTCAAAAGATAATTTGACATCAAGAATTTAACCTGAACTTATCTACGTGCATATTTACATACTGTACTGAAGGCTTTCTTAGAAATAATTAAGTAGATGTGATATTTGATATCAGATAATTTGGTAGCTGAATGAATAACTGTTCTGTCAGCAAGTTAGTGAATCACAAAATAGTGAATGTTTCAGAATTAGTTATGCAGCTTTTTCAAGTGGTTGTGTCGTAGCATCCCAGGAACTTGTCAGGATTGAGAGTTGAAAAAATTCTTGAAGAAAGGACGGTTGTAATTTGCAATTAATTACGAATTGGAGTTAAAAATTTAGCTTAGATATAGTTAGATTGTATATGTAAGCGAATAATTTTGTGCAGGAATCTGTTTACTTCTGTTGAATTTGCCATTTAGAATACTTCAGTTGTAGAAGTTATGTTATGTTAATTATGCTTCATAATTTCATTTTTATCTCACACCTCAATTTTCAAAAGCAGAATATTGAGATAAGAGGAAAAAGCTAGATTATTGTCAATATCTTGTAGTATTACCGAAAAATGTAGCTCCCTAGTAATTGCAATTGTGTATTATGGCATATCTTACCAGTGATTGATTTTATGATGTATGCTATTACCAGCCTTTCGAATGTATTTTCTTGTCTATAAATATAATTTTTCTCAGGTAATGATATAAGGCGGATCTTTTTTGGCTTGCAGGTAATTAATTTGATCTTATTGTATGGGGCATATTTCTTTTGGAACGGAACCATCGTCTAATAAAGAATGGATCACTTTGTGATATTGGACCATTATTAGACCACATATGCAGACAGTAACTTATACATCGAAAATAAAAGATCATTGAAAAAAACTTTTTTTGTACTCTAAGAAATGGTAGCACTTAAATGATGGAAGAATAAAATTAGAACCTAGGCCATTTACTATGGATGAAGCAGGAGAGAAGCATATTAAAGATTTCTATATAGATTTTCCCGGGGCAAGTTCGAAGAGTGAAGGTCATTGGTAAATTTGGTTAATGATGGTGAAGGAAGCTCATCATGATGTAACTCTGTTTGAACCGATAATAGATGCTGATGACGCAACTTTGTTTTTGGACACTGCTTTTGCTGATATAGGAAATTGAGGCATAGGAAGCTGAAGCTTCAGTTTGTTACACGTGCAAAAAGGTGATATACCTGGGAGAATGATAAGATGGAGTGAAGGAGATAAGATGAAGCGAAAAAGCCTTTTTGTCTTTGATACTCCATTGTTCATACATTCTTCAAAAATTTTTTTCAGGGACATTCCAAATCAGTGGCGGTATTCTTCATGGGTAGAAGGAGAGTGAGTTCTAATTTCGCTCGTTAATTATTGCAACTGGTAATTAAACGGTAATATATAGTTTTCATTTGTAAAAAGAAAAGTTTTGTGATATATTTGTAATTTGGAACAGGGAAAGGGG